TCTAGGAAGAAGGGACGGGAGAGCAATATATATATAGGGGGAGAGAGAATGCTTTATTTCGTTGCTGCTGCGCCTTTTTATCAGTCCCACTGTGATAATTTTTTTTTAATTTTTGTAATATTTATTTGCTTCATGGTGCAAGCGTTGCAGCGACGAGGGAAGCGGCGCCGAGCCGTTCGGGAGTCCCAGACGGATCGTTTCAGGGGAACGGGCGGGAGGCTGGCGCGCGGCGTTGGCTGCATCGCCTCGGGTTCTTTCAGGACAGCGAGGAGGGAACGGGCGAGGAGAGGAGAGCCGAGCGGGAGAGCCATGAAAGGACGGGCCGTGACGGGAGGAGTTTGGCTGGGAGCAGGCGGGCCCCCTTTTTTCTCCCCCCCGCGCCAGCCTTCGAGCGCCGGGCAAAAAACGGTGGCGGGTGCGTGCCTGTCGCGAAGCTGGTCGCGCCTCCTCCTTGTGCTGGTGGGACTTCGCCTCCTCCTCCTCCGCCGCCGCCGCCGCTCCCAACGAAGAGTTGCCGGCACAGAATTCTCCCCTTTTGGGGAATCCCTTTCCGTTCTGGCTGTGTGCGTGTGCGTGTGCGTGTGTGTGTGTGTGTGAGAGAGAGATGATTGTTGCAGAAGACCGGCTTCATTGTCCCTCATCCCGTCCGGCCCCTTGTGGGTTGGCCGAGGGAATTCCCCAGGGGACAGGTGGCTGCATTGTGTCTGCCTCAGGGACAGGCGGCTGCTGGGCGGAGTTGTGGGCTGCTGGGTCCCAATGGTAATGGTGGTGGTGAAGAGCTGGGGGGGCATGAAGAAGAGGGCTCCGGATGCCTCCTCCGAGTACTGAGGGAGGTGAACAACAAGACCGCGATTTACGGCTCTCCTTGTGTGCATCCCTCGATTCCATTCTCTTTGATAAGAATCAGGGCAGCTGGGGCGGCTAATCTCTTCCAGCACCTCGTTTAGTTAGGGCTGCCTAGCATGGCATGGCAAGATAACTCCTCCTTGGCTACCTGTCCTTTGGGCACTGGTGATTTCCAGTTATTAAATGCAGTCGAGATTAAATGCAATCGACCTGATGGAAGAAAGGGCTCTTCTGCTTGCTTCAGGATGGCCATGTGGAAGGAATAGCTCCGTCCTTTGAAGTCTTGCATGGCATCTTTAAAACTAGTAACTTATTTATTTGGGGCAGAGTGTAAACGGATGGATGACAACTCACTTCTTTGGATGTGCAGAGTTGATATATCGGATTCCATGCCTCTGGGGAAAAAATCATATCCAAGTATGCTGGAATAAACCTGTCAGTCATAAAAATGCACAAGGCTGTGTTTCTTTGTTTTTCCTGACCTGATACTTATTGCAAAGATATCATTAATAAAGGGCAATCTGGGAAAATGCAGTTTCTCATTTAATGCTCTTAGTCGGAGTTTAGGAAACTCAAACGTGACACACATTGAGAGCTTCAATATGGAGCAGAGCTTGAAGAAAATTACTTTGGGGGCACTCATGGGATTGCATGCCGTCAAGTCAATTCCAATTTATGATTACATTTTCCAGGGTTTTCCAGGTAGATAATACATGGAAATGATTTACTGTTCCTTTCTTCCGGGACTGTGCTGCTTGTCCAAGGCTACACAGGCTGGTTATTCTATTACACTTTCCAGGGTTTTCCAGGTAGAGAATACATGGAAATGGTTTACTGTTCCTTTCTTCCGGGACTGTGCTGCTTGTCCAAGGCTACACAGGCTGGTTCTTCTCCTAGGAGGCACAGAGAGGAATCAAACTCTCAACCTCTACCTAAACCATTGTGCTATTTAGCCAATATGTTGACAAGTGAAGTTTGGGATGCTATTTTGCCAATATGTTGACAAGTGAAGTTTGGGAGCTAAAGTTCTCAAAAGTGCAATTTCCAAGCTGTCGGATGGATGCAAAGTATTGGTTACTTATCAGTAATGTCCCCCTTTTGTGTGCTGTCCAGATGTGGTGGACTGCATGTCCCATCATGCTCAACTAGAACGGTCGGTAGGATTTGTAGTTTATCAAGTCTGGAAGGCACCACCTTGTTGACAACGGCTTTACTGGATCGTTGTAGGGATTGTGGCATTAATAAATAGTGAGTTCTTTGAGCTCTTAAGAAAAATGGTGCACTGAAAGCCCACTGAATCTGGAAGTTTAGAAAAAGGGACTGGAAGTTAGAAAAAGGCAAGTGAAATGATTAGGAAAAGTGGGAGAACATACTAGAATAAAAGAGATTAGAGGTGCTTGCTACTTTAGAGAAAGTGGGAGTACAGCAGGATATGTTGGAGGTTTATAAAATCAAGCATGCTTTGGAGAAAGTGAATGTTTTTCATAATCCTAGAAAATCAGGTTTGGGTGATGAAATTGCTAGTAGTAGATTCAAGAGAGACTAAGAGTACTTTCCTCGCATACTGCTTAATCAATTTATGGAGTTCCCTGCCATGCAATGTAGCCACTAGATGGCTTCAACGTGGGGTTAGACTTGTTAGATTCATCCATGGCACTTAATCACAGAAAGGATGGGCAGCTTCTAGATTTAGAGGAGCATGCCTTCAAGTAGTTGTTGCTTACAAGTAATAAGGGGTAACAAGGGGAGAGTTCTCTGTCTAATCCGATCCAACAAATTATGCCTTGCGTGCTTAAAAAAATAAATATATAAACCTCTTAATTTGAAAACAGCAGCAAATCACAATCAGAATGAACAACACTGAGGTTAGAACGCCAACATTTAGGAAATCCTCAGGTGTATTGAGACAATGTGGGGGCTCCACTTGTATGCAGTAGGTTGCCATGGAGAGGTGAAACCTCTCTCACTGATTGGCTGAATTTTTATGATGTCACAGAATGTCTACATGTTCAGAATGCAAAGACGTTGGCAGCCCATCTTCTGTGCGGGAAGGGAGGTTTTCTTTCTCAGCTTGACCTACATCACAGGGGTGTTGTTCTGACAGTAAGGTGGGGAGGAAGAGAGCTATGTAGGCAACCATGAACCCATTGAGGAAAGGTAGAGAATAAATGTAGGAGGGTTACTAAAAATTAAAAATTGTGTGCCATCGTATAAATGTTGACTTATGGCGACCCTTCAGAAGGTTTTCTAGGCATAAAATACTCAGAAGTGGTTTACCGTTCATGTCTTCTGAGTTTTTATCTCAAGCAAAATCATTATTGTAGAAATGTATCAATTAATGCAGGCTATTTATGGGAACGGTTGTATTGAAGAAACATTTGTGGATGTCATGATTCAAAGTGATGGTTGCACAAACGAAAGCATACAGTACTGGCTTTAATCCTAATCTTCCCCATAGCCCTGATCTCACACCTCAGAACATCCACTTTCCCCCCACAGATGAAGTGGGACTTGAGAGACAAGTGTTACAAGGGTGACGATGGAGTACAGGGAACAGTGAAACAACAGACAAAAAAAAAGACTCAGTATTCCAAGGCAATGAAATTAAAAAAAAACACAGGTTTTTATGTTGAGAGAAGTGTAGTTGGTGTTGTAAAGAATTATATTGAAAAATAAGATACCTCAGGAAAGATGAAATTCCAAATTGTTTGCTTTTTTAAAAAAATCTCAGTTTGTTGTCGAGTTATGAATCAGCAGCAAAACCTTTCAGCCAGCCCTCGTAACAAGGCACAGAGTAGGCAGTGAGTGAAGGAAAAATAATTTGTTTGGAGGTGGAAAATCAAATTAGTAGCAAAGGCAGAGTAGGCAGCAAATGGAGACTGGAAGAATCTAATCAGAGTGGAGCTGAAGAAGCTCCACAGCACATATATCAATAAGAGTTGTAGGCCTTGTAGAGGAAAAGCGAGAAATGCCAGAGAAATGGTGAGGTAAATAGATAACAAACAAACAGACAAAAGCAGTAACAACTGTGTTGGTGCAAAACAAATCTGTGCCTTTCTGGTTTCTCTACAAAGATGTCACTCTAAGTATGGATGGAGAGAGCAGAAT